ACCAAACAATGGTGTAGCTGTATTGAAGTCCAAGTGGAAACAGTAACATTTGGTGCGTTATGTTAGAATGAAACAAATCAGATTTAGTCAGAAATCGGGAGAAATGCGGGATAAATATGACCCCGGGAGGAAAACGGGAGTCTCCCGCGAAAATCGTGAGGTTTGGCAAGTAGGCTATGTCACATACACACGCACTTTTTGGCCCCCCCACTTCTGAAATGAATCCGGCGCCGCTGACACACACACACACCACAAACACGCACACACAGACCCCACACACACAGACCACACACGCACACAGACCCCACAAACACACACACACCACGCACACAGACCACACACGCCCCACACACAGACCACACACACCACACACACAGACCCCACACACGCACACAGACCCCACAAACACAACCACACACACACCCCCACGCACACAACAAGACCACAACAGCCACACCAGACCCCACACAACAGACACACACACACACAGACTCACACACACAGACACACACACACACACGACACACACACACACACACACACACCACACACACACACACACACACAGACCCCACCACACAGGGGAGCAATACTGTGTTAACCTAGCTATCTTAATTAATGTTATCCATCTGAAATAAATCACAGACTTCATTCGTCAATGGCATGCACTCTCTCTCTTTCTATTCAGATTAAAGAAGTAGAAATACACTAAACATACCGTAGGCAGATGGTGTGTCGCTCGGCGGGTCCGATTGACAAACGCATGTTGGTGTCCGCCTTTGTTATCAGTGGACCCACTTTGCCGAGCAACTCGTCGAAATGGCCTTTGCTCATTCTGAAGTACTGGTGAAACAGTTCGTCATCCAGACGGAGCTCTTGGACCAGAACGTGGTATTCTCCCCGTTGCAGACGTTTTCGGAGTATCGGATGTACCCAACAGCGACGCACACAACGTCGCCTCCCGAGATACAATGCATATACCAATGCCACCCTTGCTACCAAACCGGCATCCATTTTGGATAGAAGAACCGTGCTTTTTTGCTTTGTATGTCCGGGGCGGGACATTCATGTGATTGGTTGTTGGTCGCGTTGCTCGCGTTGACTCCCCAAGCTCAAGACACGCCCACCGCCAAGCGGCAACGCACGCCGCCGTGTGTAGGGGCCGTCAGGGCCAGTGCACATCTGAGTCGGACGCGCTCCGAACTATTGGGAGACGCACGCCAAGTCTCCAACTGCTGTCTTCCGACCAGATTCCTGGGTCGCTCAGTATTGAAACACGCTGCGCTTACGGCCCCTACACACGGCGGCGTGCGTTGCCGCTTCAAACGCTTCTGCCCATTCACTTTGAATGGGGTGACGTCACGATTCACCGAACTGCATTGTGGGAGCAAAGCGTAGCTTCTCTCGCGGTGCTCGCTGCAAAAGTAGAGCAATGTTCTACTTTTGCCGCCTCGACGGAGGCGTCAGCCAATGAATTCCCGCGTATGCAAATCTGACAGCACAAGCGCTGGCCAATCAAACCGCGTGTATGTTGGGAGAGCCAGACCGCAGTTATTTCCCATATGTCAAAAAATGGAGGAGAAAATTATCGTGGCGGTAGGGAATCACCCGGTACTATATATGACCAGTCCCTCTTTACATACAGGGATACAAACCGGAGGAGCCAGGCATAGGGGGAGGTGGCAGGGACAGTGGGTGAAACTGGTAGGTTTTCGCCTGTTTGGGGAGTTTATAGCCAGTGTACTTCGTTTGAATGGACAGCTAGCAAGCATAGACAGTATATTTAGCCAGCATGGATGCTTTGCTTTGTATGTCCGGGGCGGGACATTCATGTGATTGGTTGTTGGTCGCGTTGCTCGGGTGGACTCCCCAAGCTCAAGACACGCCCACCGCCAAGCGGCAACGCACGCCGCCGTGTGTTGGCTCCGTAACGGTTCGTGTCGCTACCAGTCCGCTGACATGTGTAGAAGCAAACACAATAGTGGTGGCTTAAAGCCCACCTCTGCTCCGCGCCGTCCTTTAGATGAGCCTGGTCAGATTTAATAAAAGAAGGAGTTCAAAACACCGGCATAAAAGTTATAACAATAATCTGATTTTAATACAGTAAAAAACACAATACGAAATACAGAGTGCCCTGAAACAGAGCACTCCGGGCTCCCCGCTCTACCGCCGTGCGATACAGATATCGGGACCAGCCAGTCAGAAACAGGGTGCATTTTGCATGGGTAAACAACGGTATATATGGACATATTTGGGGCGGAGAGTCACTTCTTATCTTCCACCGGACTCAACTCCTTTAATTTCCCAAGGAAGGTTTCACACAAACTATTCTTTCCCAAACAATCAAACATGTACACAGATATATTGGTATTAAACATTGTACACATTGTTCCATATTGGTGCTTTGGATTATATTGGCCCCAGAAAGAACCTTGAAAAAGAACATGTGTGTGTGCTAGTGAGGGGAAGTGTATGTGTGTGTGTGTGTGTGTGTGCTGATGAGCAGAGGTGTATGTGTGTGTGTTGGTGATATCTGGGTCAAGGAGTTTATGTGTGTGTGCTGGAGACAGGAGGTGTATGTGTGTGTGTTGGTGATATCTGGGTCATGGAGTTTATGTGTGTGTGCTGGAGACAGGAGGTGTATGTGTGTGTGTCAGGGTATCTGGCTCATGGAGTGTAGGTAAGAAGGTTTATAGGATTACTTTAAAACAGTCCCAAATAATACATGTCCACTTCAATACAGTTCAAGATAATACCTGTTTACTTTAATACAGTTTAGAACAATATCTGTTTGCTTTAATCCCTCTTTTGATCTCTCCTTCAGAGATCAACTTATACACAGCATTTGAAACATAACCTACTGTCATTCTTTTCTACTGTCTCTTCCCCAACATTTATATAAATCCATCAGAAGCTGGGATTTAGAGCACTTTAAACCTTTAGGAACAGTCCACCATAACAACTTCTTATGACAGTGGAGGGAGACCAAAATATGTTAAAAAAAATTGTTTCCTTGTCGGCTGAGTCATCGTGCTCGTCCTCCTCCGACGCGTAAGCCAACAAAGGCATTTGGTATGAAGGGGAAGGGGCAGCTTCTCCCTCAAAAAATGGGTTATTAAAACAAAGTTCCTCAAAAAATGGGATATTAGAACAAAGTTCCTCAAAAAATGGGATATTAGAACAAAGTTCCTCAAAAAATGGGATATTAGAACAAAGTCCACACCGGCTATATCAACCTGTTTCAGCGGAGAGTGGAGTCCCCTGTGCCGTCTTGGCTTGCCGTGTCTTTGTCCCCCCGATCCGCTGACGGCGGCTTCTGGGCTGCCTGCTAGAGAGATGTCTTCCCGATCCTCCTTCTCCGGCCCGCTAGAGATGTCCTCCCGATCCTCCTCCTCCGGTCCGCTGATGGCAGCTTCCAAGTCGTCTGCTGCATGGATGTCCTCGAGGTCCTTCTCCTCCAGTCCGCTGATGATGTCCCCCCCATCCTCCGGCCCGCTGATGACTGTTTCCGAGTCGACCTCCGAGTCGAGGGCCAAGTCCATCCTGATGTCGTCCACGGTCCTAGCAGGTGGTTTCCCCGCCGCACACTGGTTCCAGCTGTCCCCCTTTCCTCCTAGACGGACGGCATGAGAGATCCGCTGGGTCACTCGGTCGGGGCCGGAGAGCCTGGGGTTGAGCCACTTTGTCCTGATGACCTTCAGCCAGACGAACTCCGCTGTGTCGGCGTTCTGCTCCTCAGGTCCCCCTTTTGGCATCACCAACCTGTGTGGAGAAATCTGATACAAATCCCTCAAGCCTACGCTCAGGGCTCCGGGGCCCTCAGCTTTTTGATCCCCCACTGCGTATGAATACAGAATTCCAACAAACTGTCATCAAATGTCTTTCTATTATGAATTTAGATTAAATGTATATCCCCATAATGACCTAAACAATAAAGTATATGGCTTTTACTTCTTTACCAGGCTAGTTACATGATGTTGTCTAAATTAAATTCTGTCTCATTACATTACTATGTTTTAGCTTTAACTGTAATATGTTCTTTCTACATTTCAAACCTCAGTTACTTTAATACCTGTTGAAATATTACAAAATTGCTTCATTATCACAGGTCAACTTCTTCAGTATTCCATTCTGGAATTAAATCTCTCACAGTAGCCCCTTGGCCACTGATTCTGCATCTGTGTTACCTGTTATAACTCAATCAATATTAGAAACATGTCAACATTCATCAAACAGTATCTTATCCCCAGATATGGAGTAGGTTAATTCTAAAACTGTCAATCAATGGTCAGATTGAAAAATGTAGATTGTGAAGTTTACACTCCCCCTTTTTACACATGAACCCATGTGTAACAAAATCCTGTATGGGAAGAAAACCTTCAGGTAATAATTGATTATAAGAAAATACCAAACATTATTCACAAATGTACATCCATCATTTTCCACAGTAAACACTCCAGTGAAATGAAGTGTTTCTCTCCATCTTTCAGTCCTAAAAGAAACAGAATCTTCATGTTTTAGTTTGAGCTTCACATTCTACAAACAGCCACTGCCTGTGGGAGTGAAATATCATCAAGTAGATTAGAAACGGGTCACACATTTTAGGAAACCTCTCATTTCCCACAGAGCCCCAGAATAATGTGTTAGTCCAAAAGCATGCTTGATTAGTCATTGTTTTAAATCATGCAGTTGCACTGATCACATGCAGACATACACTCACATTCACACTCACACTGTTAGGTTGTAAAGTCAAGTTTGGTCAGGTACACCCCAGAGTCAGTCATTGACAGTGCCTTCTCAAGTCACACTGTCGGTCAGGGTCAAAGGTCAGTTGGTCTCAGTCTTTTTGGCCACGTGTCGTGCTCTGCAGAGACTTTGATATTTCAGCATAGGCCAGTATCCTTTGTCTACAAAAATCAGTCATATATGGAGCGCCATCATTTATTAATTCACAATTACAACTATAATGTTCAAGATATCTCTAACTTTTCATTGGGACAGCTGTTTCCCACATTACCTACAACTTGGTACAAAACTCACTTCCTTATAGTACTACTACTGCAGTTCATTAACATCTAATCTATATTAAAATGTCTAATAGATCAGAAACTTGTGAATATAATTATTTTCTTGAGTCAAAAAATTATTAGGATCTGTAAAGCTCTGCTATGTATTTCATAACTCATTATATTAATTTATCTTCAATTCTGGTGCACTTAAAGAACAATGTTACCCTCTTTAACAGTGCGTGGAACCTTGGGTGTCCGAACATGCAACAATTACTCCCTACTTTATCAAGGATTTAAAAACAGAAGTCATTTCGTATGTCCATCCGAAAGCCCTCCTATGGTAATAACTATGCCATAATGGTGAAACCAGTACCTCAAATTGAAATACTATATTTTGTTTAGAACTAGCTTTCCCTTCAACATGACCTATATAAATAAATATTTGTCTGATCTTATAGAGATGTTACTAAAACTCTCCCTTTGAACTGATCAATACTGTAACAAATTAAAACACTACCAAATTCACACATGAATAAAAACTCTAAAAGAATCATTTGTAAATATGATGAAAAGATTGAAGAATATGGTTCTACACTGTACTCCTAACTCCCAAACACCCACTACTTAAAGTCTAGTGCATACTTCCATCATGCCCCCCCCCTTTTCCATCAGTGTGTTTTAGGATGATTTTTCACTTCACTTTAATAGTTTTCCTCTTTACCGCTATTTTTAATTTACCAATTGATTAATTAATGGTTCTTATCTTCACTTATTTATCAAGTCAATTCAAGTTCTTTAAATGTGGTTCTTTAAAATACATTAGTAGATACCTTGTGGAGTATTCACAATAACTAATCCTCTAGGATATGAAATCCGTTCATCTTTAAGCAGATACTATTTCCTTATTTATCTTTTGTTCATGATAACAATGGTATAACAACCACACGTTTTACCCATAGCTAGTTTCTATAACAAGATTATTATGTGTGACATAATAATCAGATGTCTTGTTTGCTAACCAAGAATATTAAACTTTAATCTTTTCAGTATTCCAGACCATCATTTAAACAAGCAGCCTCTTATCTAAACACTAAGCATTAAGGTTTCTACACCCCCCCCTGGGAAACTCTTGCACAATTATGCCGTAAAATCATTGCATCATTCCTTCAGAGTCTGAACAATCTGAGACAAGCATGTCTCAAGATCTTGTCATAATGAGCACAGTCAGTGATGCAGCTGTAGTCAGTGGCAGGGTCCCCAAAAAAGCTAGGACCGGCCCTGGTCAGTGGGCTCCAAGGAAACTCTCCCTGGCATTGGGATGAGGGAAGGAATCACTTGGCAGACACACGTTGTCCTCTGTACAACAGAAATCCCCCCAAAACCGCAGTACCTCTTCACACCACTGTTGCCTTGGCAACGAGGCACAAGCTAAATGTCAATATCTCCTCAGAGATGCGTTCTTTGCAAACTTCTTCTGTTTGCAGTGAGCAACTCTTCACCAACACACTGATTCAGAGAACCCAAAAGGTGGTGCAGAACTATCCAATGCTGCTGTAATCACATTCAGCTACTGAGAAAAACTCAATTGAAATCTCTCTCCCAACGGGTTACAAAATAAAACGGCTGAGGTCAGGAATGCTGAAACATGTGAATGTTAAAACAAACTAATGGTAGTAGTCTGCCTATTCTTTATTACTTCAGTTCTAAGTTAATAGGCAAAACAAGGACACCCTCCTTAACCATTATACTAATCTTTTATCTACTTGGTTAATTCTATTCATTTTCAAATTGTTTATCAAAGTTGTGTTACAAGCATGGTGAGGTTGTAACAGAATACACAAATAACTGTATTCAATCCGCGCCGTATTTGAAAACTGTAATGAATTCAAATCAATGTTTAAGGACGTAATATAAGTTAAATATATTGTTAAGCTAATTACTGTTTTATTGTGAAGGCATCTCTGGTGAACAGCGGCCTGTGGCTTTTATTTTGAAAGGCCGTTCCGGAAATATACTCCGTAATGTGAACAGTGAGTTTGACTTCCAGAAACACGGAAAGTTACGATAACAATCGTTATAATGCATTAAATAAAGTCATGAAAGAGACAAGGAGGGGAAAAGGCATGTGGAAGTAAGCAATTAACTGAAAATGCCACCAATCCTCTGTTTTAACGTGATGGCGGACATTGAAAACCGAAGCGGGCATAAGCACCCCTGTCATATAGACCTTAATAGATTACTGACAAGCGTTCAAAAACCCTTCTGCTTATCACTTAGGCTACTACTTTTTGTTTTATTCATAACCTAAAAATACAATTGTGATGAAGAGCTTGCTCTTTTTCTGATTGAAACAAAGGGTCTACTCTTCTACAGAATCAGAAAGTACAAATACTGACACCCCGGCTCCGGCTGGAGCTCTCAGCCTTTTCAAGAGAAGGGGGCTTCTTTCAACAACTAACAACAAACTATTGGTATACCAAAACATTTACCAACATAAAACAAGGTCTTTACGAATCAACAATGACAACCAACAGACAGAACAATCAACAAAACAGATTTCCGAATGTCTCGTCGGCTCCTACTCTGTCCTCTTCCGTCATTTTATTTTTTAGGAACCTCAGGTCTGCACAAGCCTTTTTCTTGTCTCTCTGTTTGATTCCACTGAGAATCAATCTCTCAGTATGTTCCCATTGTTCGCGGAAGCTTCCGGGAATTGGAACGCCTAAATCACTCTTTTCAAATTGTCCTTCCATTATGACTTCGTATCTATTATCTGACTAGGTTAATATGTGTTCACTTGTATTTATTAATACACCGGACAAATCTTGTCGTTACTCTTAATGTCCTTATTCTATTCTGAATTCAATATTCAATACACAGAATATGGTTACACCCTGTTCGCCACCAGAGGGCAGCAGCTGACCACAAATGAGCTTCCTCTGTCTGATGAAGCTCCCAGCTTCTGCAAACCTTCTCATGTCACTATTTCTGCTGTCTCTTCTCAATTATTACACAGATTCGACGTAAAATATCACACAGAGTTTATTACAGAATTTCCCCAGCGAGTCAGCCGTGCAGGACTAGTACCCCACGGAGACCTCGCTGGTTCACTTTACTTTCTTATACAAACACTTTCTTAAATATAACTCGATGCCTCAGGTCTGGAATGTCCTACCTGACTCTGAGCACCGACTTTGCTTTAGTGAGCGAAGGTACTGGAATGCAATACCAAACTCTTACACACTTAGTGCCCTATAGGTCCGGAATGTCCTACCTGACTCTTATACAAACACTTCAAATATAACTCGATGCCTCAGGTCTGGAATGTCCTACCTGACTCTGAGCACCGACTTTGCTTTAGTGAGTTAAGGTACTGGAATGTACTACCCGACTCTTACAAACACTTAGTGCCTTAGGTACAGGACTGCTCTACCTGACTCTACAAACACTTTCTACAGTATTGTATTTTTTACCGTGACTAAGAACACTGAGAACGCCACTGACAACTCTAAAATTGTTGTAGTATAGCCAATCACAGATTTTGACAATCAACAGGTGTCTGCTCACCTTTGTATCTGGACGTCCTGGTTTAGTTGTCAACGGTGCCCGGGGTGTCCTCCCCTGGACAGAAATTCGTCCGCTGGCTGTCGGTGGTCCTTCTAGAGACCAGCACTCATCACGTCGGAAGGTCACCAAATTGTAGAAGCAAACACAATAGTGGTGGCTTAAAGCCCACCTCTGCTCCGCGCCGTCCTTTAGATGAGCCTGGTCAGATTTAATAAAAGAAGGAGTTCAAAACACCGGCATAAAAGTTATAACAATAATCTGATTTTAATACAGTAAAAAAACACAATACGAAATACAGAGTGCCCTGAAACAGAGCACTCCGGGCTCCCCGCTCTACCGCCGTGCGATACAGATATCGGGACCAGACAGTCAAAAACAGGGTGCATTTTGCATGGGTAAACAACAGTATATATGGACATATTTGGGGCGGAGAGTCACTTCTTATCTTCCACCGGACTCAACTCCTTTAATTCCCAAGGAAGGTTTCACACAAACTATTCTTTCCCAAACAATCAAACATGTACACAGATATATTGGTATCAAACATTGTACACAGATATATTGGTGCTTGGGATTATATTGGCCCCAGAAAGAACCTTGAAAAAGAACATGTGTGTGTGCTAGTGAGGGGAAGTGTATGTGTGTATGTGTGTGTGTTGGTGATATCTGGGTCAAGGAGTTTATGTGTGTGTGCTGGAGACAGGAGGTGTATGTGTGTGTGTTGGTGATATCTGGGTCAAGGAGTTTATGTGTGTGTGCTGGAGACAGGAGGTGTATGTGTGTGTGTCAGGGTATCTGGCTCATGGAGTGTAGGTAAGAAGGTTTATATATATAGGATTACTTTAAAACAGTCCCAAATAATACATGTTCACTTCAATACAGTTCAAGATAATACCTGTTTACTTTAATACAGTTTAGAACAATATCTGTTTGCTTTACATGGCGCATCAATCAACGGCAGTGGCGAGCCGTCAGGGCCCTCTAGGCCCTCTGTGAGGGCCTAAAATATTCTAAAAAATAATATTTGAAAACATTAAAAAAAAAAAACGTTTTTTTTTAAATATTTTTTTTTATATGTTGTTGTTACATTTTTACGGAGCCCTGGAGGGTTCATAGAGAGAAAAATAAATAAAACGTGGCCACGTTTTACTTTCTCGAGTTACTTTCTCGTGCGCACGAGTTAATAAAGCGTGCGCACGAGTTAATAAAGCGTGCGCACGAGTTAATAAAGCGTGCGCACGAGTTACTAAAGCATGCGCACGAGTTAATAAAGCATGGCCTCGTTTTGTGTGTGTGTGTGTATGTGGGGGGGGGGGCATTTGTTTATGATAGTATCGTTCGTTCCGGTGCACTCCGGCAGGACTATAGCACATCGAGATTAAGATTAAACACATTTCTTTCACTTGGGAATACACTTAACTATGGGGAACCAGATTTGTTTAAAGTACTGTTCGTGGTAATTTGAAAACAAATGCCGGTGGTGTCGGATACACACGAACAGCACCGTGTGTGTGTGAGGGGCAGCACGGTGTGTGTGTGTGTGTGTGGGGTGACCAGGTGTGCCACTTTGTGCGGGACTGCACACAGCATTTTTATTAATTGTCCCGCGTCCCACAAATTGAGACTATGTCCCGCATTTGAGTGACAGACGCGCAGGAAGGCCGGATCGGTTCAACGGCATCATGTTGAGCTGACAGGCGACACAGAGGTACCCCCCCCCCCCCCTTGACAGTTCACGAGCGCGTCCAGTGTCTCCCCCCGCCCCGTCCACCCAGTCAAAAAAATCCCCACTACACCACTGTGTATATGTGTGTGTGGTTAAACGTAGCAGCCTCGATCTCTATTCAGCGGTTCTACTGAAGGGAAACGCAGTGAAGTAAACAGTAAAAGGCACAGCTCTTTGCAGCTGGTGCTGCTCTTCTCAGATTCTAATGAGTTACACGTTACTGCCTCCAGTGCCCTGTACGACGAAGCCAGTTCAACAGACCCTGGACCTGGACATGTTCGATTTACCCGGCTTAACCCTAACAAACGCGATGTCGATAAGCGGTCCGACGAAGCTGGTAATCAACTCAGTAAATCAACCAGGGTTTCTCTGTCCGGCTGAGAGCGCGTTCACGTGAAAGGGACGGGGTTAGCAACATTTGACCAATCACAAACATGGAGACGCGTGCTGACAGCGCAGCGTCATACTTCATGAATGAATAGTGTAAATAGCAAATCCTGCTTCGTAGTACAGGCCACTGGTGCCGCAGAGATTTCATAAAGTGAAGGAGGTTTTCCTTCTATAAAACAGCTGTGGGCAGCAGATACTGTGAGTCACGGACAGGAATCCCTCAATTTAAATAAAACGAGGCCACGCTTTATTAACTCGTGCGCACGCTTTAGTAACTCGTGCGCACGAGTTACTAAAGCGTGCGCACGAGAAAGTAAAACGTGGCCACGTTTTATTTATTTTTCTCTCTATGAACCCTCAGGGCTCCGTACATTTTTCATTAGTTTTACCAAAATAATTTGATTTAATTGTATTTAAAATAATATTTCCAAAGAAATAAATCCTTCGAATCTGCCCGTTCAGTTTCTGTTGGAATGTGAAGGGTTAAATGCCGTCTCTGCGAGTTATGTGAAGACGGGAGGGCTTGTTGGACCCTCTCTACATTCACAGAGGGCCCGCTATAGTAACTCAATGAGAGAGTAATGTCAAATGACAGTACAATTGACCAATCATATCTTCCCTCTAAATGGGTGGGCTTTATTTTCGCGGACTTTATGACAAGTTCCACCCGCTGTTACCTCATTCACACCAACGGTGTTTCAGGGCCGGTTCGGAGCTGGAGCTTGAAAAGCACCGGGTTTTCCTCTTTACACCGCAGCGGAGCAGCCTCTTAGCTCCGGAATCCGGTTCGTTTCAAGCACCAAAAAATTGTCCGGCCAGAGCAAAAGCACCACATACGTCACGCTTACGTCGAGGGCAACTCCTGAACAACAACAAAAAGCCCGCGTTTTGGTTTGTACACAACGATGGAGAAACTTAACAAGAGTTTCAGTGTTTCTGCCATATACTGTATATATAAAGGTTTCTGCTCATGGTGAAGCAACGTGTCTGCGTGTTAAGGTGGAACCTGAGCATTCACGTTGATCACCTCTCATTAATACTCATTATAAATCTATAAAACTATAAATATTAAACTTTACTTCACGTGTTCATTTGAGAACAGCTGTTACATACCTGGGTGAAGGTTACAGTTCATTTAAATGAAAGATACAACGTTACTCCACACTCATGGTTCAGTCCACCTTAAGAAATAAGACCGACCTCGGAAGCAGTTGTGTTTTAAAAAACCTTTATTTATTTATTTTATGAGAATATAACTAAACCACAGAAATGACTCCGGAAAAGCTGCAGATAGAGCCATAAGAAATGAATGCAACTGATTTCATCCGCGCGGTTTGGCTTTATGAAGCAGGCACGCAAACGGTTACGTCATGACGCAAACGATGATGCAACGACGCATTACCAGTCGGACTCTGGGCAGTGTGAAAAAAGCCAGAGCTAAACCGAAGAACTGGTTCTGAACCTGAAAAGCTCTAGCACGGTACTTGAACCGGAGTTGCGTTTGTGTGAATGAGGTAACATACCTAATGAGGTAACATACCTCATTCACACCAACGCAACTCCGTCTATGTGTAACCCCGGTGTAATGTCCCCTCAGCAACAGACCACTCAGAGCTGGTGATTACTTCAGTTTATTCCATACATAGGCTACCTGCGTTGCAATGGACACATACAATGGACACGTGAGCTGGGTTTCTCAACAGATCCTCACGCGGTATCTAAATCTCCTTTACAATCCAATAATCAACAACACAACAATGATCGTATAGTGGTAGTATAACAATGTGAAACATTAAACATAAACAAACTGGTGTACAAAACTCACATACCTGCGTTGCAATGGACACATACAATGGACACGTGAGCTGGGTTCTGTTGGAGAGATAGCACCACGCTCACGTTAGCCTATTAGCTCAAATTAGCTATTGACGAACACATTAATAAATCATATAACACAAATAGCGAATCACACAAAAACATGTTGCTGTGAGCATTAAACGACTAACATTAAACTAAACAAACAAAACAGAACGTTATTGTCCTAATAAAATAATAACATACATTTTGTCCAGACATAATACAATAGCACCTTACTCTCAACAGATCCTCACGCGGTATGAGAACCTCCCACAATCCATTGCGGTAACAAAGCTACAGCAATGCAGGCACACGTTTGTAACACCAGATGGCGTAATTCTCCAATTTATCCTGGATTTTACACCAACCATTATAACTCTGTTACATACACCCCCCTAAAATTCTGCTAAATTGGGAAAAACACAGAAAACAACAAAACACACAGGAGATACAAAATACAAGCTGTGTAGAAATTTGAGCATAACCTCGTTGAAGTCAGTTTGAAACTGTCCACTTGGAACAAGTCAGCAAGAGATTGGCCAAACCCCTTAATAACAGAGACACAAAAGATGCCGTGTACACCTCTTATAAAATAAACATTACTCTTCTACATCTTGAAATTACTGAGGAACACTGTAAGACAGTGTAAATACTGGTTAAAAAATAAATAAAAATAAAACATATATATATATCTATAATCACTATCAAGAGTCTAACCAAAGAATATGTCTCTCATAATAGAAAACACAGAACCACTTGTTGACACCGAGTCATCAACAATCTGCTCATTCACTTCACAAATGAGTCTAGCTGGAAGCTTTATAGGTCTACCTGCCCTAGTGCAAAGTGGAAGAGGCTGTTCACTAACTACATGGCCCTGTGTGAGTGCACCCAGTTGTGTATCTGTTGCCATGTCAGGGGAGGGCACACAATGAGCTCTTTCTGCTGAGGGCTGTAAAGATGCATCTTGGGACACCTCACATTCAACAGTGGAGGGCAACTGTGCAACACGTACAGAAGAGTCTGAGGGATTCAAAACCTCACACCCAACATGTGAGATCAAAGACTCTTCTGCTTCTGAAGATGCTGTGCTCACAGCCACAACTGAAGAACAATCAGGCTGGCTGGCTATCTCATCCCCATCATTTGCATCATCCATCTGCAGGAGCCAGTTAACTGTCTTCGTCTCACTGTTCTGTACAGCAAGAGAAACCACTGGGTCACTTTGTCCACTTCCAGCGACAGAAGAGCAGCTTGACTCAAGATCTTCATCGCCTCCCACGGGGAGAAAACTCACAGGAAGCAGGAGATTCCTGTGAACAACTTTCTCCTTTGACGTCACAGGATCTCTAATGCAGTACACATTGATTCCTGGCTTCACAGATATCACTTCATAAACTGTGGAAACCCATCTGTCTGCAATCTTTCTTCTCCCTCTCTCACCACGATTGGCAAGCAAGACTCTGTCACCAATAGTGAGAGGTGACCCTTTTGCTTTGCGGTTGTAGTTCTTTGCCTGACGTGCCTGTTCAGTCCGACTGTTCTGCCGGGCAATGTGAGCAGCTTCTGCCAGGTCACGTTTCAAGCGGGAAACAAACTCACAATGGCCAACAACAGCACTGCTAGAGAGGGCATGCTGGAACACAACATCAACTGGCAGACGTGGGGTCCTCCCAAACATGAGAAAGAATGGTGCAAAGCCTGTTGTTTCATGCTCAGTGCAATTGTAACAGAATGTCAGCATTTGGAGCATTTGTGGCCACCTGGCCTTGGAATGTGGAGGCAGGGCCCTTATCATGCTCCCAAGTGTTCTGTTGTACCGCTCGACAACTCCATTCCCCATAGGATGGTAAGGGGTGGTGTGTGACTTCTGGACGCCAGCCACCTCCATGAGCTCTTTAATAAGTTGACTCTCAAAATTGGCTCCTTGATCTGAATGGATGCATTTGGGAAAACCATATATGCAGAAAAAGTCAATCCAAAGTCGACGAGCGACCTGCTTAGCTGACTGATTTTTACACGGGAATGCATGAGACATTTTAGTAAAATGATCTGTGACTACCAAAACATCCACACACTTTTTGTCAGTCTGTTCAGCAGTCCAGAAATCAATACAGACTAGTTCCATCGGTTCAGAGGTGAAAATGCTTTCAAGAGGAGCACGGTCGTTAGGCTCAGGTGTTTTTCCAACCACACATCGGAAGCAATTTCTCACATGATTGATGATGTCACGTTCCATCCCTGTCCAAAAGAATCTCTGCCTGGCAAGAGAAAGCGTGCGGGCCTGTCTCTGATGACCAGCCGAGTCATGTATGCCATTGAGGACTTGGGCCTTAAGGGAGTCTGGAACCACAATTTGGTGGATCGTCGTGTTCATTTGTCTGTCTTTCTTTACCTTGCACAAAATGCCATCCTTGACGGAGAGTTTGGGCAAGTGTCTTAGCAGTTTTGTCACTCCGCGAGACTCAGCAGCACGCTCACGTCTTGTGGGTCTCCTGCGGCGCTGGATGTAATAGAGAGCCCTGCCTATGACATCATCCTGCTCTTGGAGATTAACAAGTTCACTCTTTGGTAGAGAGGAAGTCTGGTCGACACCAGCGACCTGAAAAACAGCTGGTCCTGTTCCTCTCACTTGGCCGACACCTCCAGTGTCGTGTGCATCCAACACTGCTGAGACGTCATGTGATGACAGGGACCCCTGAGAAGGAGGCTGGGTGATGACGGCGACTTCCTCGGACTGATCAACAACCACCTGGCAGTTATTAGTACACCTAAATGCATCTTGCACTGTTCTATCCACCATCCCAGACATGTGGTTCATTAAAAACGCATAAGGTTCAGTCACAAGACGGTGGCTCATGCACGATTGGACAAATGGCTCTCTACTTAATGCATCAGCGACCACATTCTTTGGACCAGGAATATAGTTCAGGTCAAAACTGTATGCTGCGAGCTTTGAAACCCACCTCTGCTCACAAGCATCCAACCTAGGCTTAGTCAAGATGTATATCAATGGATTATTATCTGTCCAGACTGTGAAGCATCGCCCTTTTAGCCAATGGCTAAATTTGTCACAAACTGCCCATTTAAGAGCGAGAAACTCAAGTCGATGTGCTGGATAGTTCAGCTGAGAGTGGGAAAGTGTCTTGCTAGCAAATGCTACAGGTCTGGCCATCTTTCCATCAGGAGGCAACTGTGAAAGGACGGCCCCTATGCCATCAAAGGAGGCATCAACTGCAAGAATGAATGGAGCGCTAAAATCTGGATGTGCTAAAGTGACACTGTGCACCAGCTCATACTTCAATGTTCCAAATGCTTCTTTGCACTCATCATTCCAGTCTGTTGGAGAGAGTCTGACATAGCTTTTTTTAAACTTTGGTTTGTGGCCTCTCCCTCTTTTGTGTGGTGTGGCAGGCTCAGCCACAAGGTTGAATAGCGGCTTAGCTTTGGCAGAACATCCCTCAATGAAATGGTGATAATAGAGAACCATCCCTAAGAAAGACCGGATCTTCTTAGCACACGGTGTTTGCTCATCTTGCTCCATCAAGTCGGCTTCCTGCATATCATTTATAGCCTCCACTTTACTCGGGTCGGTCTTAACACCATCCTCACAAATAATGTGTCCCAGAAACTTGACTGACCTCCGTAGAAAGTAGCACTTCTTAGGGGAGAGCTTTAAGTTGTTGGCTGCAAGACGTGAGAAAACCATCTGTAGATGCTCAAGTGCAACCTGTTCAGATGGAGCATAGACCATGAGGTCATCCATGTAGCATAGCAGACTTGTGAAATTCTCATCCCCAAAGATGGACATCATCATTCGCATGAAAGTGGCAGGGCTGTTCGTCAAGCCCTGGGGCATCCTGTTGTATTCATGAAGACCGAATGGGGAGGAGAACGCTGTATATTTTCTGTCATCTTTATGCAGTCCGACATTGTAGAACCCTGACGTGAGGTCCATTGTGGAAAAGAACACATTTCCACCAAGCGCAGCAAGGGTATCTGTCTGATGGGGCAATGGATGTGCATCTTTTACTGTTCTTGCGTTCAACCACCTGAAGTCATTGCAGAGGCGAAGGTCACCATTTAGTTTGACAACGAGGACAAGGGGTGATGAGTATTCACTCTGAGATTTGCGAATGATTCCTAATTCCTCCATGTCATTCAGAGCAGTCCGTAGCTTGTCATAGTGGCATGGCGGAACCCGCCTGTATGGAAGTCTGAAGGGCTTGTCATCAACCAGGTGTATTCTGTGCACAAAATCCACTGCCTCGCCACAGTCTATTTTGTGCTTCGAAAATGTTGATTCATACTGCTCAATGATTTTCATCAGCTTATCTTTCCCCTCGAGAGAGACTTCACAAGATGAGAGGTCCAAATCCTGCAAACCCATGTCACTCAACACGCGGGACATCTCCTCCTCTGACCATGGCTCAGGTGACGGGCTCTGTGTGTACTGTGCACTGGATTGGATGCGAACTGGATCTGGTAAATCCTGCACTGAAAGACAGGGGGACACATCAGCAACCTTTGCATTTTTTTTAAGGGTGAGTGGCTTTTCAGTGGGGTTTACAATTTTTACAGGAACCCAGCCATTTCCCCATAAGGACGTGACAACCCTCCCCACCAGAATTTGTGCAGGTCTGGCTTTTGACTGGGAGGGCTCAATGATGACTGTACTCCCTACTGCAGAGACATCAGACTCAGGTAATTTCGCCCACACCAAACTTTCAGACATTGGCTGCAGAGTTACACATCTTTTCAGTTTTGCCGTGCCAATTTAGTTAGTTACTGCTCCACCTTTGCATTCATCTGAGGAGGACAGCAGAGACATCAACTTGGGCAAACTATCACTCTGAAAACTTGTCACAGGAGATGTGATATTTTGGCAACTTACAGTTTTTTTCATCTGCAAAATGAGCCACTTGATGGCATTGCTGCCGAGAATCATTTCATCAGTCTGGCCTGGCACAACTAGAACAGGAATTATTACCTTATATTACCTTATATAAACTGATGCAGTAAGATCATACATGGCAGATGGAGTAACAAGGTGACCACCACAACCAACTATGACAAAGTCTTCGGCTGATTTCCTTTCCATGTTAGGGACAGATTGTGAAAGTCTTATGTCAGCTGCCTCACTAATTGTGCATGCCATAGATCCACTGTCCACTAATGCTTTGAGAGCATGTCCATTATTGGTGGTCACAGCTGTGTGGAATAGACTATCAGTCTCTGGGAGTCTTTGCAGCCTTTGTACAATCAGTGTCTTATTTGATGGCACCATGCTGCTGTAGGTGTCATACAATGTTTCACAATCATCAATGTCTTTCATATCCAAGGTGGGAGGCTCACTCACATAATCTGCACTATCCTCCCTCTTGCGCAGATCATTCAGTTTCCCTGCTGGTTGTAGTGAGGAGGACGTCTCCCCTCTGGGCACTCACGTCTTGATGGCCAGGTAAGTGACACTGGAAGCAAAGTTTGTTCTCTCGACAGTGTATGAAAGCAGAGTGAGAGCTGTCATTACATATAGAACAAGGCATGTCCATAAAGCCCTTGATCTTTGGTGGCTTGTTGCTAGTATATTGCCTCCTATTAGCTTGAGCATACCCAGGGGCCTGGAGCAACACCTTCTCCAGCATGCCAATCAACCTCTCGAAAGCGGAGGTGTCCTGGCTCACAGCTTGTGCCTGTTTGGGAATGTCTGACACTAAAGCAGCATTAGTGTTCACCTCAGCTACATTCATGTTTATCCTGCCTCTCTCTGTGGAAGACCTCAGTCCCTTCTCTAAATGGTATTAATCTAACACTTCCTGAACTTCTCGTGCTGACCATTTATCAATTGTCTTGGACCTAAATGTAAGAGCTAAATCTCTGCTGGGGCAGTGTCTGATGAACATACGTGTGACTTCAATACTGGGATTATCAAACACCTTACCCTGTTCCCTAAGACAACTGTCAGCCACATCGACAGCTCTGTTTTGTCTGAGCCAGTACTCATATGGGTCCTCTTGTTCTTTTGGTAGAGTGGAATAAAAGTCAGCTAAGGGCACAGAAGAGCAATGGCTGGAGCTGAAATGTTTGCGGAGGAGTCCATAGATGGCCTGTGGGTTCTCTTGGACATCAATTCCACTATTTCTTATCCCAAACTTCACAACATCCTTTGCTCTGCCCCTCAGGTGAATCAGAATTTCTTCAGCTTGATGCTCTGGCTGGATACTGCTTTTCCTGATGTAATTTCTCATAAAATCTTCCCATTCATCAACAGGCAGTGTGTCTGAACTCTCTCCTCTGAACACAGGTGGGTCTTTAACTCCTCTCTGAGTGACTATCTGGACTTGGGAGAGATCCAGTGTTTGGCTGGGGAGTGTGTCTTTTAATGCATGTTTCTTCATGACTCGTGTGCGAAGCAGCTGTAGTGTTAATGCGTGACATAATGCTATCAGCTAGCTGCTGCCCTATCTGCTGCACAATAGTGCTCATTTGTTCAGCTAGTCTCACATCATCAGGAGGGTTGGGGACTGATGAGCTAAAGCACTGTGGTGTAGATAACTCTACTGTAGGCTGGATGGAAGGTGTCATCACATCTCCATTTCTGACTGTGCACTGAATCCCCATCAAAAGTTTTCCTATCCCCCACCTTAAAGTCACCTAGTGAAAATGGAACAGGTGTGCTACATAGCCCTCTACCCCTACCAACATTGAAAGGAGTCATTTCAAAGGTATTCAATCTACTGGAACTCATGTTTTATCGATAGTAAACCAAAATAAAATGACAAGTTCAAAAGAATAAGGCTTATATCAACAAAATAAACCTGAGAGTCCAACACAATGAAGGAATTGAAGCTCCAAAACGTTGCAGCGGCGAGAAGACATTCACCCTGGTCCAGCGTAGTCAAGAACGGGTCACGGCACCAATGTAACCCCGGTGTAATGTCCCCTCAGCAACAGACCACTCAGAGCTGGTGATTACTTCAGTTTATGCCATACATAGGCTACCTGCGTTGCAATGGACACATACAATGGACACGTGAGCTGGGTTTCTCAACAGATCCTCACGCGGTATCTAAATCTCCTTTACAATCCAATAATCAACAACACAACAATGATCGTATAGTGGTAGTATAACAATGTGAAACATTAAACATAAACAAACTGGTGTACAAAACTCACATACCTGCGTTGCAATGGACACATACAATGGACACGTGAGCTGGGTTCTGTTGGAGATAGCACCACGCTCACGTTAGCCTATTAGCTCAAATTAGCTATTGACGAACACATTAATAAATCATATAACACAAATAGCGAATCACACAAAAACATGTTGCTGTGAGCATTAAACGACTAACATTAAACTAAACAAACACAACAGAACGTTATTGTCCTAATAAAATAATAACATACATTTTGTCCACAGACATAATACAATAGCACCTTACTCTCAACAGATCCTCACGCGGTAACAAAGCTACAGCAATGCAGGCACACGTTTGTAACACCAGATGGCGTAATTCTCCAATTTATCCTGGATTTTACACCAACCATTATAACTCTGTTACATATGCAAGTGGTGCAGTGACGCATCCTATAACCCGGAAGTAAGCTTCGCTCGGATTCCCTCGACAGAAAGCAATGGCATTTCTCCATAGGATTTTGGAAAATAGCTCGAAATAAGGTCTGTGGAAAACGAACCTGTTAGATAAATGCACGTTTTGTTCAGCCGGATAATATCCACATGTCTACCCTACTTTTATTATTTTCGAATCATAAATCTAAACGATAGATTTATGATCGATAGATTTATAATTAGCATAAGTTCGTTCATGATGGCTCACTTCAGTGATAGTGATGACATCGTTGCGAAATTATTAACCGAGTCATTTTCAAGATTGAGTTACAATGATAAACTGGAGTGGCAAAGGATCAGCTGCATGACCCGCAAGTGCTTCATCCAAAAGGACAGGAGGATGGACTTTGTGTTTAAGTGATTTGATCATCAAAGGTAGGCCTAAGTCATTTTTAATGTGGGCCGCCGTGCCGACTTAATTCATTTGTAATTGTTACTTGGCTGTAAGTAAGGGAGCCTGTCATGATAGGTGTTTATATAAATGGTGTTGTTTTGTGTGGTAGAGGGGGTCGCTGTCATTGATGCGTTTTGCACCCCGGGCCGCTGTTTAGATATTCCGCTGAAGTATACGCTGTGACGTAATAACTCTTCTTTTTTTTTCGAGGGAAGGGGGGTCAGAGGGCCTAGGTATAAAAGTCACGGCTCGCCACTGATCAACGGTAAGTTTTGCCCATTACTTGCCCAGTATTACTTTGAATATTATTATTGTGATTGAGGATTAAATCCGCTTTGAAGACCACCGTTTTATATTGTGCAGTTTAGCGGCAAAATAACGTCAGTTAGCCAGCTAACGCTAGCTTTGTTGAGTTTATGCTAGCTAAACAAGTAGAGGTTGTAGTCTACAGCAGTAATTAATATATTATAGCCTACTGCTTTGGCACTAACGGTTGATAACCGTTTATGAAAATAAAACCAATTGAACTGTACTGAAATAATGACAAGTTTTATAATTGTCTTGGGCTCCTGCTGTGTTTTTAAAGCCTTTGTAAATTATCCATGCTATTTTCTATTTAGAACTAAGACTTCAGAATCTTAAAATCCCTTGACGTTTGTATGCAATTGTGCTAAATTCAACTCTGGAATCAAGCAAATATTAATATGTTTGCATGACATTAGTTATTTATATTTTGCCATCACTTAAATTATACGTTTAATACATTTAAGTCAAGCTAAGGTACATGTGATGGTAGCTAGTTAGTACTCTTACCTGTGATGCCTCCTCCAAACAGCATAATAACCAGACTGTATCATTACAACTATGTACCAGTTCTAGATCCTTGACTTTAGACAAACAATTCAAGAGACAAAATCTATTTAAAGACCAATCTTTATTTGAAGGTGCCAACTTTATATTTCTTATTGTCTAAAGCATTTATTATTTTCATTTTCCCCCTCTCATGTGGACGGATTGAGACAGCGTGGTGTCCAGAGAGCTGCTGAGACTTCAGGGAGAAACCTCCGTGTGATGGACGTCCTGTCTGTTGGTTTGGAGAGGACTGAGGGTCTTTCCTCAGCGAGGAGGACCAGGCCTGATAGAGGAGCGGGCCCATGCTGGGCAAAGCTGATACCACAGGCCTAGTCTGTCACTTTATTTGACTAAATGTGTTTACTTATACATTTAATAGGTTTACACCTTCTGTCCATATGTGCTTTTTATTTAAAAAAAATTTGATTAACTTTTGGTTCACATTTCAATAAATTGTATTTGTATTTGTACTCCTTTCGTCCATTATTCTTACTGAAAATGTTAGATTACTGAAGATTGGCCCCATTTATTTGTGATGTTGCAAACTCTGAGGTGCAAGGTACAAGTGATGTGAAGCTCATAAAGTGAGGCAAATAGAAATAATCAGCTGATGGCAGGGGCGGACTGGCCATCTGTAGAATCTGGAGAACAACAGAACGGCCGGTCGTCGTGTCAAGGGCCGTTGACGGCCGGCTGGCCCTTTAAAAAAAATTGTTATAGTCATAATTTAAGTTGCACTGACGGCCAACAGAGGGCGACAGCGGCCGCTAATGCAGTTGTGTGGTTCTTATCTGTCAAATAATAACACACGAAGAAGAAAAAAGACCGGCCACAGGAAGAGAAGGGATTAGACGCAAGCCCCCAGGAAGTGCGCCGGAGTCTGATGAGAATATTCGTGCTGGTCAAACGGCGGTACTACACTTCCTTTAGGTTGCTGGGCCCGGAAACACTTTTTCCCATTGACTTACATGGGGAAAGAGTGGTCTGTAACTCGTTGGATAATTTTTTTTAAACTAAATAAACTACCCACGTTTGTATAGCCCTTATTAAAAACATTCGTTCCTCAAGTTGTAAAAATGTGCTAATAACGTTATTCTGAGAGTTATTTCCCTCGGCATTATGAACGCGCATCTAACCCACGGGACCGCGCCGCCCGGCACGTTCATGTTACGTGTTCAGTACTACATGAGTTTCTCTTTACCCATGGATGCACAATAACAACGGACCATATCGCCTTACTGCCAGCCCACGGAGCTGTAATAATGGATATATTGCACATGTTTGCTGTAATTCATCATTTGTAAAATATTAACATACATGGGCTGTATGATGTAAATCTTGTACCGTAAATGTTGTATTAAATAAAGTTAATATTACCGACGTAGATTAACGTTCCTGTAGCTTCTTATTGCACTTGCAATTGTTTTAGTTACTTGTGGGCTACTTAACATGAATAATCACAGTTACTATCCTTTTACTCCATCACATGTCAAAAAGAAATAGGCTATTGTTATTTTAACTCCACCACAGTAATCCATCATCAGCTTTACTTTTTAGAAAACGTTTTTAATTACAATTGATCATAACAGGCTTCAACATATACATTTTTATATATTACCAAGTGGTTTCATGTAGCTACAAACCACACAAGTATCATGCTAAATGAAGCTCTGTTGCTTGGATATCACTAGATCCTGATGTCAGCGTAATATAAAAGTACATAACGATTGATGTGTAACTTAGCATAATTTACTAGCTAGCCGCTAGCTGCTAACTGCCGACTCGTTAATATAAATCCAGTACCATGCTGTCATGAACGTGCGGTGCTGTTACGTGTACGCAAATTCACGTGCTTAATGTGAACGAGCCTTTTGGGCGGCGTGGTTAAAGTTGCGCATGCTCTATGAGTGCACATACGGGTACTTCTCAGGCATGCCGGGTAATCTGTGACGTTTCGCTCTCTCAAAAGTTGGGCCATTTTGTCATCATGCGCCATTGAGCAACTCTCATAGGAATGAATGAGGCCCCGCCTCCCACGCTGTATCCAGTTCTTATTATACATCCATGATTAGACGCCACGGCAGACAGGGAGAATAAAAAAACATGGATAAAAATCAAAGAAAAGAAAAAGGTGGGGCCGAGAAGGCAAGAGGAAAAAAGGTGACGTCAGCATATAAATGTCGCAAATTGACAGACCTTTTTGGCAGCAGCGCTGCTACAACCACTATCAGCAGCAGCTTAGAACAAGTGCAAGATGATGAAGAGAATGATGAGGGCGCGAGTTCAGATATACAGCCAGCCTCCTGCGTTCATGATGAGGGACAGAGTTGAGCTGGTGGAAGAACCAGCTCAACTGGCACATACAAGTGCCGGGCAAGAGCAAGAGGTGGGTGAGAATTATCCCTTGAACTCAGTGGCGTTTTCTCCTGGAGGCCAAGGGAAGCCACGCTTACCCTGTTTTTATGGATTGTAGTTATAATATTAATAAATAAATAAAAACACTTTGTTTAGTTTCGGTAATTATTCTGTGCTGTGTGTTGCAGCCGGCCCGTCTCTCCCCCATTCTCATTGAGTATTTTACAAAGAGTGAAACAGCGCCCCTCTAGATGTTATGGTGAAACAGTAGATTGCACTCTGTTGCGAGAGGAGGCTAGCTGAAATTGGCTTCCCTTGGGGAAAAAAAATGGAGAGATTGACCAATCAGATGAGGCTCACGTCATGCCTCACAATCCAATTAAATTGCATCAACTTCAGTTCGTACTGTAACTGTCATCACTGCCCTTAAAAAGTAGCAAGCAACTGAAGCAAGTGCAATTATGGAGGGTGGAGATTTAGAGTATTTCATCAAAAATAATTTTACTAAACTTCCGCTACAGCAGCAACTAAAAATGAAATCTGATGACAGGCCAATGCCCAAACTGGAGCTGTGTACAGAGAGGAAAAAAGGAGCGAATCAGACGTAAAACCTTAAATAATAAACAGCGGATATCTAACATTTGACATTTCATGTGGCCGGACTGGTCACAACAATGGGCCTCAGGATCTCGTCACGGTATCTCTGTGCATTCACAATGCCATCAATAAAATGCACCTGTGTTCGTCGTCTATAACATACGCCTGCTCATACCATAACCCCACCACCACCATGGGCCACTCAATTCACAACATTGACATCAGAAAACCGCTCACCCACACGATGCCACACACGCTGTCTGCCATCTGCCCTGAACAGTGAAAACCGGGATTCATCCGTGAATAGAACACCTCTCCAACGTGCCAGACGCCATCGAATGTGAGCATGTGCCCACTCAAGTCGGTTACGACGACGAACCGCAGTCAGGTCGAGACCCCGATGAGGACGACGAGCATGCAGATGAGCTTCCCTGAGACGGTTTCTGACAGTTTGTGCAGAAATTCTTTGGTTATGCAAACCGATTGTTGCAGCAGCTGTCCGAGTGGCTGGTCTCAGACGATCTTGGAGGTGAACATGCTGGATGTGGAGGTCCTGGGCTGGTGTGGTTACACGTGGTCTGCGGTTGTGAGGCCGGTTGGATGTACTGCCAAATTCTCTGAAACG